TCCTAGTGATATACAACAAAAGTAGCTTTATTATAAAGAAAATATTGGTTTTCCAAATTTTGTAGTTAAAAACAGTCAACAAAAAAACTTAGGACAATTTAACCCTAAGTCCCTCCCCTAATTTACCCACCTATGAAGATGATCAAAAACTGGCGTTTAATCCATTAAATAAAGCGTAAAAAGTTTAGCATTTGTACCAAATTTCACTTAGTTATCTTTAATAGTTTAGAAAATATTTACAAAAATGTGTCATCAGGACTTCACTTTTAACACCCTGTATCTCGGAAACAAAACGTTTTCGGACCTATGTTTATATAAACTTTTACTCCTATTTTAGGATGTAGATTACGCTGTTAAAACATGACTGTCTAATTTCGGGACACCCTGTATACATGATTTCCCCAAAATGGACCGTATTCGAGAAATTTGAAGTGCAAATCAGAATAACTGACAATAAAGATATGCAAAAATGTTTTGAATAAAATGTATGTGAAAAATGTATACATTTAAATCGTCTATTAAATACTTTTTGATTAGATGGACCGTACTCAATATTTTTGATAAAATTAATTAATTTATTAAATAATCCAATGAATGTGGGTCAAATCCCGGAGCGTTTAATTTTTTTTCTCTTAAATTTACTGGGGAGGGAGGGGATAGGGGGGAAATGGGGGGATAGAGGGGTGAAAGTTTGTATAGAGGCATAGATTTTTTAAATGTAGGAAATTGGAATTGTACACAAGTAAATAATAACATATTTCAAGGTTTTGGATTTTCACATTTTAAGGAGGGGGGAATGGGTAAGTATCGTAAAAATAAATAAAAACAAATAAAAACAACTAAAAATTATTAAAAATAAATAAGAATTAATAAAAATAATTAAAAACAAATAATTATGAATTGGTATGAAAAATATGAGGATTGAATTGAAGCCCTTGGTGTAAAAAGGATGCAAGCCACAATTTGTCGTGAAGTGACTGTTTTAGCTCAAACCATCTATTAATAAGGAGAGACTGGAGTCGAGAATTTTTATTTCTTGCTGAAGAGTCCTAATAAGGACGAAACCGGTCCAAGAATGACTTTCTCCTTAGTAGGCAAAATCAAAGGTAGAGTCTGGAAAATATTTTCTATCTCTGCTTTTTTTCTTTTGGCGTAATTCAATACCTAGTGAGGTATTAGCCAAAGAAGTAGTTGTTGTCAAAAAAAAAAAACGGCCACGCACATATTGTGACTATGGCTTTGAGATTTGTTTATGTATTTTAAATGCTAATATTACTTTTTGAGTCTAATAAGTATCTATTTTAAAAACCAATAAGACAGAAATCAAAGGTTTTATTGTCGTACTTCAAAATTGACTTGATTTTTCAGTAAAGTCGGAGGCTAATTAAATAATTTATATAATAAATTATATTAAATATAATGAGTGCGTTATATCTAATCAAAAAGTATTTGAAAGATGAATTAAATATACAAGGTGGCCCGACGAAAACTTGACATTGGGGTTCTGCGTATTAATAACGTAGATGTTATTAAAAAAAGATCGGACAGGTCAATTTTAATTTGGAGGGGATATCCTTTACTCATATCTTCAACGGACATACGTCAATCCCCTTCCCCCCGTCACTTTAACCCTTAACAATTTAAATTGGGAAAGTAGCTAGTATGGCCTATCATTGAAACGGTAATTTTATGGAGAATTCAGCAATATGACTATTCTATGGAGTGTAAAGGTAAGAACTATCTCTGTTTACAAGACGTGTCCCTCAAAATGTATGAAATTAAGATGGCGTTACTGTACCAGAATGGAGACTGAAAGCGCCGAAAGTTGCGACAGTCGATAATTCAGATCACACAGTCACATCAATTATGTCTATAGTTATATAGATTGCTCACCCATAATTACATAAAATTGCTCAAAGGGTATAGCCTAAAAACTAAATCGGGAAAAGCGACTGCGCTTATAATCGTAGAGAAATTTTGATAATAAACGACAATAGTCAAATTTTATTGTAATATAATTATTAACTTTGCATATTGTCACAAATTCTAATTAATAAATTTTTCCAAATTCTATATCTTTATATATTAATATTTAATTCATTCATAATAGGACAATTACCTTTATTTCAAATTCCAGTAATATAATAATTTTGTAACAAAATATTTAACAATTCTCAATTTTTATAAGATATTTCCTATCATGTTTAACAATAATAAAATTTGCTAATTTTGCTGATTTCACAAACTGTGGAAACTACAAATCAAACATCGTTAGTTGTATTAACTTGTTGAATATGCAAAATCAGCAAATGAGTCTTCAAGGTAAATGTTCTAACAAACAGGAGGCAGTCAGGAAAGTCCTGAGCCCTGAGCAACAGCTCCTGCGATTTTTGCTTAAAATAAAAAAGTTTAAATAACATAAAAAAGAATTTGTGGACGTGCCCCAAACAAATAATCCGGTAAGCATAAATATTTTTATAAGTATTTTTGTGTGTTAGTTTTATTAAATATAAGAATTTTCTGGGTTTTAAAAATTGTTGTATATGTCTATTTGAAAATTGATTTCTGAATTAATAAATGTGTTAGTTTTTATTAGTGATTTTAATTTCTTTTTTTCCAACAATCAGAAAAGTAGTTAAATTAAATTAATAAGTACGCCTCACCAGGTTGTATTTTGGGTCGAACGGACTTTATCCATCCAAGCTAACCGGAATGTAGCGTGACGAGCTAGAGCTCGTCGTGGCGTCGTCAGATAAAATCTGAACTACCCAAACCCCGAAAAGAATATCCTGATACCCCACGACGTTACAATATTAAATCTGCTGTTAATATCATCAGGCGAACCTGGTACAGGTGGACTGTATTTTGAGAGAGTAAACCCTTTGTCCATAAACAAAACTGAATTCATGCTATTCATGATTCGTAAGTGTGTATGAAGTTTAAAACTTTAGTGCTTGTGTAGCGATAGACAAAATCCAACCCCGAGACATCTTTACTGTTGAACGTTTGATAGCGGAGTGAGTATAAGCGACGATGTGGCAGGCGATGCAGACGCTTCTTAGTTCTTGTGTGTGGAGGAGCGTACCCAACTGAGGAGCATTACCTCAGCACGTATAAGTTTTCTAGAATTATTTATCAGCTTTACTGAGCAGAAAAGAAATGTTGCAATGCCAGAGATAGAATATAGTGAAGGCAGTTTGGATCTGGTTTCAATGTGACATTCATCACGTTATGCAGAAATATTTAGCTTGTACTGTATCTGTTATTCGTTGGATAGAAAATGTGCATTTCTTGAATGCGTAGGTTTAACAAAAATGGGTTAAACAGGGGCGGTTTGCAAAATTTTGTTTAAATTTAAGATTATGTTATGAAATTTAAACAATAATAATATAAACACTATATTAAAATGGGGAAACGTGTGCCGCAGTCGTTATCGTTTTTCCAAGATATGTATAAAATAACTTTTTTATTTTTTTCACTCCTCTAATAATTAATAAATTAACATGTATTTATTCCTTAAATAGAAACCCGCTTTCGTCGTCTGATTTACATATGGATGAACAAACTATATATCATTGGATCTAGTTCTTCTAGTACACGAGCGCCATCTTGGTGGTCACTTTTTGAAATAAACAACCATATGAGAATGTCCTCATTTTCTCTGCACTTCATAGACTATTCATTACGTTAGCTTTGTTTTTAGCGCCCTCTAGCGGAATAAAAACTGTATTGTAAAGTGTGACAGTAATTTGAAAGCTAATTTTATTAGTAATTTAATGTACAACATAACAATACATAATTTCATGAAACAAAATAACAAATTTATGTTAATTACTAATAAAGTTACCTTTCAAATAAAGCGTTACACTTTACAATACCTGACCGTTTTTATCCCACCAGAGGGCGCTAAAAGGGTTCATGGCATGTATGTGATAGTATTATAGATTAGAGTTAAGCAATCGAATATTTAAGTAGACTATTTAGGAATCTCTTTGTATACCACATTTCTCGTACAACTGTCATCTGCTTGCGGTCACATAAAACTGACCGTGAGAAAAGCCTAAGGGATGCTGTCGAAGTGTCAGGACATCGAGATATGTTGTTTTTATCAATTCGCGACTTATATTTTTCATGTCATGGCGGAAGAAGTATCACTTAATTGTTTTTAATTATTTTTATTTATTTATATTTATTTATATTTATTTATATTTATTTATATTTATTTATATTTATTTTTATTTATTTTTATTTATTTTTATTTATTTTTATTTATTTTTATTTATTTTTATTTATTTTTATTTATTTTTATTTATTTTTATTTATTTTTATTTATTTTTATTTATTTTTATTTATTTTTATTTATTTTTATTTATTTTTATTTATTTTTATTTATTTTTATTTTATTTTTATTTATTTTTACCTTTTTATTTTTTACAATACTCCCATACAAACTTTTACTCCCCATTTCACCCCCTTAAAATGTGAAAATCCAAAAACACTGAAACACGTCATTATTTATTTATAATGAGTAGCTACAATTCCAATTATCAAGTTCCCAATTTTAAAAATTTTAAAAATCGGTACTCCCATACTTTCACCCCCGTTTTTCTCTTAAAATGTAAAAATCCAAAAAGCCTCAAATATGTTATTATTTTCTTATGAGAACTAGCTACAATTATAATTTCCTACCTTCAAAAAACCGATCGTTATAATGGTTAAATACGAATATAGATTTTCATTTTCGAAAAAAAAAAAAAAAAAAAAACCATAATTATCAACGAAATTAGGAAGTATTCCCTTTAAGCTATGTCCGTTCAAATCTGAAACAGATGCGTATCTAAAAATACAATCTGCCGAGTATTAATTTATTCTGGCCCAATAAACATGTTCTAACATTTACGTATACGGTATAAAGTGTAAAATGTAAATCAGTTTCACAAAAAAAATATATACACAAATAAAAAAAATATCTCCATGCCATCTAATTTATATCTACATACCTTTTTCATTGTCCTATTAAAGAGGTTCACTTTGTGTCCAGAATTGATTAAGTTCTTGACGATACCGCTTCCAATTGTTCCTAATCCAATGAATCCAAAAGTCAGCTTCGAAGCTAAGATGTCTTTAGTATTCAACAGTTCCGAAATTGAATTTAAGTTGAGGGTAGGTGATTCCTGAAACAGAACAAAAAAAAATTAAATATTCAGTAACCTTTGTATTTTGTATACATATACGTCTTAAATTTTTCTTAGGTATAGTGTAAAATTATAAAGAACAAAAGGAAGACTATTCATATGAAGTGAGCATAAGAGAGAGAGAAAAAGTAAGAGCAATTCCACTATTCTTCGCGACACGCAAACGAAGCAAATCTAGCCTAGACCACACTAGATCTTGTACATTCTTAAAGAATCTGGTACTTTCAGTGGAGGCTCGTAAACAAAATATTAGGCATTCCAAACTGAATGGCTACCAGTGGGTTTTGACGGGTTATGATATAGCAAAATTATGGCAACCCTGTAGGCCTGGTGATTTGACAAGGTCAATGAAATAGATAGTTACATAGATTGATCATCCATATTTTTCAAAATAAACATAAGCTTATGCCTTGAAGTAAAAATGTAAGCAATTATTTTTTTTTAATGTCTAAAGGTTAAAAATTAGTTTTAAAACACATTTTTTCTAAACCGATTCAAATTAATAAATATTTGCCAGGCAATATGGCCGCTCGTAAACGACCAGCTTTGAGCAATCTATATAACTATATATGTATCATTGACCCTGGTAATGACAACAGGGTTGCCATATCTAAACTGTCATTACCCACTGGTAGCCATTTGGACAGGTCGTTGGAATGACTAATTGGAGGTTCACAATGACAGAATAGATCTCAGTACAGATTTAGGTAAAAAACTTTCAGTGTTTATAATATACCTTTCTAAAACACTGAAAGCTTTTTACCTAAATATGTACTGAGATCTACAGTATGTCCCCCTAAGTTGGAATCATATGGAAAACTTTTTTATTATTAATTTTAGGAAAAAAAGTTATTTTTCATAAAAAGTTCTGCATTATCTAAAACCTAGAATACAGTCATCAAATATCAAATTTTTTCAGTGGTATACGAGGTTTGTCAAAAAATATGTTTTTTACTCAAGAGTAAAGTATTTTTAAATTTGACAATATCGGAAAATGTTACTAAAAAAAGTTGATCAGAATTAAAAATTACGTTTAAATATGCAAGTACATCCATTTACATTAAAACTTCAGATTATTTTATTTTTTACTAATATTTCTATTTTTGATTAACATTTATCTCTTGTGATTACGAAACGGATGTACTTGCATATTTAAACGTAATTTTTAATTCTGATCAACTTTTTTAGTAACATTTTTCGATATTGTCAAATTTAGAGGTACTTTACTCTTGAGTAAAACTCATATTTTTTGATAAACCTCGTATACCACTGAAAAAATTTGATATTTGATGACTGTATTCTAGGTTTTAGATAATGCAGAACTTTTTATGAAGAATAACTTTTTTTCCTAAAATTAATAATAAAAAAGTTTTTCATATGATTCCAACTTAGTACTGTATATTCTGTTATTGTGAACTCCAATATGTTGGTCACAAACCGCCACTGGGTACTTTAGTACCCTTGAAGCAAAATCTAGTAGTTTTAGTGACATCAGTTAGTTACAGTTATCTCCTTTTTTTTATTACATATCGAGGGTTCAGAGCCAAAACCCGATAAGTCGGCAAAATTGGAAAATTGACTTTTATACACCATCGAATACAGTTTTTTGTGCTCTATCTGTCAATATACTCCGTTTTGTGAAATTCCATCTCTAAGTAATGTTAACCGGTATTCCAAAAAACCGATAAATGAATAAAGATCAATTTTTGTTCGGGCAAGCATCCTATAAACCAACTTTGTTCCTGTATTAGCCGTAGATCACAGTTACTGTTCTGGGCATAAACAGATAAATCGGTATAGCTGATTTTTTTAATATCTAATTTTAACTTAAAGTTGAGATATTTGACTTTCGCCTAAATAAAAATGAAGAAAAACATATATAAAATATAAATAACACAACTTGTTTGATTTTGACTTTTAATAATAAAATCTATATTGCACTTATTGTATTATTCCTTTTAAATAAATGAATCTGAAACGATGTTAGATGATTTTATATTCCAGAATCGGAAATTATTTTACATTTTTATGAGAGCAAAAAGCCGATAAGTCTTAATTGTGCGTATGCGCTATTAGCATTCGAGTAAGTTTAGAGTTTAGTCGTGTTTCGTGTTCAGTTGTTCAAATTTCTTTGAAGCTGACGGACGCTCTGACAAAATGAGTGCGAGATCGCAGAGAATGGTAGCTTTAGCTAGTATACCCCTGTCAGAAATAGATACAAGTAAGTGTTGTTTATTTATTTGATGAAATTTTGTGTATTTATATAATTTAATGTAACAAATGATATTGTAAGTATTGAAATGAATCCATTATTTTCTAAACGAGCTAAGTTACATATTTTTTTCGGCAGCAGTCCATTTCTATAACAAACGAAGAAACGTGTTATTTTTTAAAAGCTTTTATTTAACTTAACTTGTTTGTATGTATGTGATGGAAACTTACAACTCTTTTTGACTGACTTCTACATATCCGATTTCAAATTTGGTAGGTGTTTATAGTTCCGGTAACAATGCCACCCTATTGTATTTTTAAGTTTTCACTTCCCCCCTTGTCCACGAGAGTGGAATTGGGTTCTTTTTAACTTCGTCTGATTTACTTTAAAATTGGTGTGATGAGGGTATTCGATATCAATAGGTATAAGTTATTTTTTTTTACTTCTACGTACGTAAATATATAAAATTTATGGTTTTGGTGACAATACAATGATATGGCTCAAAATTAATAAAAAAAAACGCCTTGCAACAATGACGCGTTATCCGAAATGCAAAGATTAAGAACCCTAAGTGTGCGTGACTAAAAATTTAAAAATAATAAAACAAAACTTTTTAGGCACAAGCTTTTATTAAATGCACTATAAAGTAAAACATTTTTTTTGATTTCTGATACCATAATAAAATGAAATTGTTTCAATTTGCGCCCATCGCTTTTATTATGGTATCAGAAATAAAAAAAATATAATTTACTTTATTGTGCATTTAATAAAAGCTTGTGCTTAAAAAGTTTTCTTTATTTTTTTTTATAACGCTTACATAAACGTTTATGATTTTTAGTTTCTTTATAAAAATAGTCAAGTATTAGCAAAGTAGGATTCTACTTCATCAACAGATTCAGACATAATATAAAGCTACGTTTAACAATTAAACAACTAAATTATTTTGCAGTTTTATAACCAATATAAAAGATCAGAAATTAAAAAATGCAAACAATTTTAAATATGAAAATGAAAGGCTACGGTTAGCTTTAATGAAAACATTATTAAGTTTCTTATAAAATACCTACGGATAGTTTGAAAATAATTTAAACAGTCAAGTAACGTTACTGCGCACCCTGATAATAATTATATTGGGAATATTACAGTTACTTATATGTTTTCAGATGTGACCCAATCCGAAGGTCCAAAAAAAAGGTTGCTCAGATGTGATAGTACTTTAAGCAACAATTCATCCATTCTGAATGAAGATGAAATGGAAATAGCAAAAAATGTAGAAAGTATCATCGGAGATATTTTTCCAATAAAAAGTATTAATAGTCCAGTACTTAGCCCTAAACCCGGACCTAGTACCCTTAATGTTCCTTTGCCTGCACTGATACAAGATAATGATGACATTAACTCTGAACCTTATGGTTCAGATTACTCAGATGTAGATCCTACTTATCATCCTCATAGTCCTCATTACTTAAACAAAAGCTTTGAAGATGATAATGACGAAGTAATGCCTGCTAGTCCCTTGGATAATGAAGAAATGCAGACTTACAGTCCTCATAACTCTAACAAAAGCTTTGTAGATGACAATGATCAAAAAATGTCCGATAATAGATTAGATACTGAAGAAGTACAGAAAATGGTTTCAGTAATCCTTAATAATGTTCTAGACGACGTATGGAATAAAGTTAAAAAGGTAACTAGAAAAAGAAAGTTGCAGCCTGATAATTGGAAAAAAAATATTGCCAAACAAAGACGTTCGGATGGATCAAATTACATTACTAAGAAAACACTTCGGTCTGCAAAAATACCAAAGCCAACGAATTGCGGTAGATGCAAATACAAGTGCAATGAGCATTTTAATGAAGACATACGAATAGAACTCTGCAGGTCATACTGGCAACTGAATTTTATTGGAAAAAAGAATTTTATATTAGCCAACGTGACTAAACATCAAGTAAAAACAAGACAAGTTATACAAAAATCAAATAAAAAATTAAGAGATTTTACAACCAAATGTTATTTCCAGAGAGAAGATAAAAAAATACAAGTATGCCAAAACTTTTTCCTGCGTACGTTGTGTATATCAAAAGACGTACTAATGGATGCTTGTGTCAAAATGAATGAAATTGGTGTGTACTCATCTGAAGACAGACGAGGCAAACATACACCAATTAATAAAACAAGCCCTGAAGCATTATCTATGGTAAAACAGCATATAGAATCCTTTCCTGTAATGGAATCCCATTATTCAAGGAAAGATACAAAAAAACAATACTTAGAGAGCAACTTATCTATAAAGAAAATGTACCACTCTTACAAAGAATTATGTGAGATAAAGCAGACCAAACCAGTTTCCGAATACTGTTATAGATCTGTATTCTGTGAAGATTATAACCTTAGTTTTTTTAAACCCAAAAAGGATCAATGTCCAATTTGCGTAAATTATTTCAAAGCCGATGCAGAAAGGAAGTCCAGTCTAGAGTCACAGTATTTACAGCATCAAAAGAGAAATAAGGATTGTTTAGCCGCCAAAGAAGAAGACAAAAATCGTGCAAATTCCGAAAAAGAATTTCTGTCCGTTACATTAGATTTGCAAGCGGTTTTACAGATTCCAAGTGGCCAGGTAAGCCAGCTATATTATTCTAGAAAATTGGTAATGCATAATCTAGTTATATATGAATCCGCGTTGCCTAATAATGCGTATTGCATGTGTTGGAGCGAAGTAAATGGAAAAAAGGGGAGTTGCGAGATTGGAAGTTGCATATATTACTACTTAAAGGAGTGTGTCCCAAAATATGTACGTCACGTAACGTTATTCTCAGACACATGTGGCGGTCAAAACCGAAATCAGTACGTTACTGCAATGCTTCTTTGGGCAGTTCAGAAAATAGAACATATTGATATCATAGAACAGAAGTTTCTAGAGAGCGGCCATTCTTATATGGAATGCGACAGTGTACATTCGGCGATAGAAGCAGCTAGTAAACACTCTTCCATTTATTCCGTAAACGACTGGAAAAATATTTTTCAACAAGCTCGCAGAAAGAAAATAAAAAATATCAATGACGTTAAACATACAGTACTGCCTTATAAAGTAAAGGAATTTAAATATTTCGAAATACTTGATCTTAAATCATTAGCAGCCAAATTAATTAAAAACAGAACACGAGATGACAACAATCTAACTGTAAACTGGTTGAAAATAAAAAGACTGAAATATCTTAAAGACCAACCAAATAAAATTTATTATAATTATGACATGTCCACTAACTTTCAAACCATAACCATTTCCAACACCAATCAAAATTTCGAGGATTCACCGTCAACTAGAACCAGAAAACAATGGAAAAAAAATAAAGAACCTACAGCAAATACCTTTGAGTTTCCAAGTGAAATACCATTTTTATATGACTCGCAGTTGCCAATAAGTAACGCAAAAAAAAAAGATCTGTTAAAACTCTGCCGAAAAGAAATAATTCCTGAAGAGCTTCATGAGTGGTTCAACAAGTTAAAATCATCAGCTGATGTTGTAGATCGTATACCGGACCTAGACGTCAACGATGAGCCCGAATCAGAAGAAGAATCTTAAATTTTATATTATTTAGCAAATGTATTTTAATTTCTTCAGTACCTTTTTCCTTGTTTCATTTAAGTTTTATAAGTTAAGTAATTTTAAGCTTATTTCTTTTGTTATTTTACCTAAATACATTTTTTAACCAGTGTGTTTTTTTAATTGTGAAAGAAATTACTTAGAAAAAATCTTTGGAACTGAATTTTTTTTAAATAGGTAAGTTTTTTTAGACTTTTTATTATATTAATCAGTACATGATAATAACTTATCTGATTATTCCGTGAAATTATCTAATAATTAGTAGAGCAAAAACCCGATAAGTCGGTGCCTAAATGTCTTAATTTTGGTGAAACTAAAGCAAATCTGAATTTAGAAAAAAATAAAAGTAATCCATTTAATCGATATAATATTTACAACAAATTGATTGAGGTAAACTATCAAAAGCATTTAATATGAATTTAAAAGAAGGGGCAAAAGATCAATAAAATCTTTAAACACCGATATCTTCATAACTAAATTTTCTTACTTATCGGGTTTTCGCTCTGAACCCTCGATATACAATAAACTTCCTTATAAATCAAAGAGCGTTTTTAGCTCTTCAATAGCTTCGTTCGCGGTAAGAATCCTGAACTGATTCATACTTTGAGCGCAAGTCCGATTCATTGTCAATTCAATATTTTAGCGCGCGCGCAACTCCAAGATTCTTACAGCGAGACAATAGATTCTGGTTTTCGTTTTAAAATATCTCGTGAAAAAATACTAATAGTGAGGTGGTGATGGTTTTATGGGGGTCATTCCGTTCAAGATAGAATACAGCAAAGCACCTCGGTTTTTTAAAGCTTTTTTTCTAAAAACAACCACACCACATTTTTAGGCTCTTAAAATTTATAAAACTTTCCTAAAAAAACTGGTATTTTTATTATTACAGGTCGCTTTGTTCGAACGAAGCCAGCAGAGCAACTCGAGGGTACTCTGACGTAACCTCGTATCTCAGAAAACACTATTTTACAGGAAAGGCAAAAACATTTTATTAGCGAAGAGAATCAAACATTTTCTATTATTTTAGAATCAGTCACAAAGTTTCGGAACACATAAATATTACAAGAAATAAACGAAATTATCAAAAAATTTATCCAAACCCGTCCAAACGTCATACGTTATTTTCAGCTTTTGCCGTAGAAATCTACAGGGCGTGACTGCATATGAGTTACGTGTTTTCAACATTCGGCGTTGAGATACGAGGTTTTATTTTGTTAAATAAATAATTAACGGGTACAAGTTTTAATTTAAAATTTTACACAGTTACGTAAAAACATATTCTGAAGATGAATTCGGGTTTAACTCAAACCCCTCAAAAATCGAGTTACGTGGTTGCGTCAGAGTACCCTCGAACTCCGTTTTATTAAAGAGGTCTTTCCTAAAAAGAACCACAAATCATTTAAGGCTATTTTTAAGCTTTTAAAATAATAAAAACATTCCAAAAAAATTTGCCATTTGTAAAAAGTACGGCGTGCTTTGATAACTTTAGAACAAAGCCAACAGAGCACGACTTTTTTCTTCTAAAAAACAAATCACACCATATTAATTTTTAGTTTATTTTTAGACCCTTGAAATATAAAATTTTTGCTCAGCAGAGAACATCAGCATTTTAAAGCCTTTTTTTTTTTTCTGAAAACAACTATATCACGTTTTTAGGTTTTTTATGCTCTCGAAATATATAATATTCAGAAAAAAAGTTAAACCGAGGTCTGCTGACTTTGTTCAAAAAAAAAAAACGCGTGTATTATTTAAAAATAGTATTTTTTAGTAAAGATTATAATATTTCAAGAGCCTAAAAATGTGGTGTGGTTGTTTTTAGAAAAAAAGCTTTAAAAAACCGAGGTGCTCTGCTGAATTCGTTCGAAGCTAGCAAAGCACTCTGTATTTTTTAAAAAATACTAATTTTTTCAAAAAATGTTATATTTTAAAAGCTTAAAATAGCCAAAAAATTCGGTGTGGCTGTTAGAAAAAAAGCTTTAAAAAGCCGAGGTGATCTGCTGACTTTGCTCCAACAAAGCACCCTGTATTATTTATAAATAGCAATTTTTTATATTTCAAAGGCCTAAAAATAGCCTAGAATGTGGTGTGGTTTTTTTTTTTTTTTTTTTTTTTAGAAAAAAAGCTTTAAAAAACCGAGTTGCTCTGCTGGCTTTGTTCTAAGCTAGCAAAGCACCCTGAATTTTTTTTTTTCTAAAAGTTTATAATATTTAGAGCCTTAAAATATGGCATAGGTTTCAACTTAAAATTGCCTAGGTGCTCTGCTGCCTTCTTTGACATAGTCCCCCTTAGAGCCGTCCTTGATTAGAAAATGTTTATCTTTGGTGAATCTTGTTATCAGATCAACTAAATCATTTTTGGACATTTCAAGACTATTACTATTTTACTGGTGCCTTCGTCATTCTGATTATGTTTAAGGTATGATTTTAGCAGTCTAGTCCTGAATTTCGTCATTATATTTACAGAATCCTGGATAACAACAGTGCCCATTAAGAGGCATGTGAAACCAGTCCCATGTTTCACAAGATTGTTTATCAGTCTTTTCAAAATTTGACTCGCATCGCTTTTAATAAGTGGCTATCACCATCCGAGGAAAACTCTACTATTGTAATTTCGTGTTTGCTTACTTCTTCTTCTAAGAAGTCCCATCTTTTAAGAACTTCTTCGTAAGTAAATCTATTATTTGTTCCGAACAAATTAAGTACAAATGAAGCTTTTTGATCTTTTAATGGTTGTGCCATAATAACATAGGCATACTTAGCTCGAAGAGAATTTTCAAAATAACTTTGAATAGTAGCTGCATTTGTGGCAGGATATTTTTTTTTTTTTTGGAAAACTTGTGTCGTCGAAAGCACTTACAAATCCAACTATGATGTCATTTTCTTTATTGTATTGAACTTTGTCATTCCGGTTCCATCTTCGCTAATCCAGACATATAATGGCAAATTATTATTTTGGAGATATTCTCTTAATTCTTTCATATACACATCCGACTCAAATAAACAATGGTAATTTTTGTATATACTTTCGAATCGTTGAAATTGATGGAAGCGAAGATTTCAAATTGGCAGCTAAAGTTTCATACGCTAATGGTAATTTCGTTAACAAATGACCTAACGCAATAATGTACAGGGAGCTTAAAAAAGTTATATTTTGATAAGTTTTCAAATATTTTCTTAGAGAAGGGATTATTTTTTAAAAATGAAAATAAATATTTTTTTCAACAATAATTTAGACATTTGAAATTTTTTTAAAGTTAAAATATGTAAAAATACTTTTGTAAATAAAATTTTTCCAATTTCTTTATTTTGGACCTTTCTTTTGCCCTTTATGAGGGTTTCTTAAAGAACAATTTTTATAGAGAGTTACCAAAGAATACCTGAGAATTCCCGGGAATACCTAAAAATTCCCGGGAATACCTAAAAATTCCCGGGAATACCTGAAAATTCCCGGGAATACCTGGGAATTTATAAGAATTCCCGGGAATACCCAGAGAATACCTGAGAATTCCCTAAAAGATGTACACAAGAATTCCTAATGTATTTACCCCTCGGTTTGTCCGATGTCACGTTTTTTGTCTGCGCGATAAGTCAAAAACGAAAAATGATATCAACTTGAAAATAAAGCAAAAATCAAGCTCTATAAGGGGACAAAGCCTATTGATTTTGAAAAAAATGTGATTAAAAAATATGGGGTTAAGATGGGCTGAAATTAAAATTAAAAAGCGATATCAACATGAAATGTTTAGTAAAAATAAAGCTCTATAAGAAGATAAAGCATATTGATTCTGAAAAAATTAAAGGCGGTCATTCATTAATAGTTGTAGTGCTTGGAAACAGAATGATATTGATAATAAAACTACACTTAATATAAACCCAAATAAAAAACAAAATCAGCGATATTGGCGTTTTTACACAGTTTTGAACCGAATTTACACACGATAAAATTATTGAAAAAAAGTGGACACCCTTTTCAATTATTACAAGCCGCCGGCCTAAATCCGCGGTTCCGGGTCCGATCCTCATGAACTAATTTTTTATTTCTTTAATTCTCATCATTTTCAATTTTTCTTCGTTTGTTTTCACTTTGGGGATATGAGGGTGTAATTTTCATAATTCCGTAAGGGGAATTGTGAATTTTTATTATTTCCAAAAATTGCACATAGTTTCGGATCTAAACCTATTTTCTTACTTCACTTTTTATTATTCCTACTAAATATTAACTCTATTAACCTACATTATTATTATTCGTGACTCGTAAAAAAAATATAGTATCCATGCTCATTGTGTTAGAAGGAGTTTGTCCAATCTACCATTACTTTCCACCTAACTTACATTGTCTTAGAAAACATATAGTATCTTGGCTCATTGTTTTGTTGTCTTACTTAAATCGAACCAATAATAACAGATATAACTTATGTCCTTTTGACATTAACGCCCATATGCACCGTTTTAAAATTTAATCCAGATTTGCAAATCTCGTTTAGATGACTAGTGGTTATTTTCTATGCACCGGCTACGGATTAGGTAATCTAGTTTAGTAATCTGACAACACTGGATTTTTATAAATTTCACAAAAAACAGAAGGAAACTTTAGATTTGAATAGGAGAAATGTATGTCAAAGGCCGTTGAAAATAGAAGCCCTATTTTTTTACTGTACCAAAATCGCAAACACTCCGTAAAACATTTTACGCAGGGTGAAAAAGAATGTCAAATGAATTTAAAAAAATAATTCTATAGTTGAATGGCAAAACCATTATGTTTATTTTTGGTAATTTTATCATATACAGGGTGTTATTGAAATACACGTACATATTAAAATGGGGAATAGTATGTAATGACCAAAAACGATTGGCACCAATTTTAACTTCAAATTCTAAAATTTAAATATTGGGGAAGAGTCCCCTTTTCCGACCTACTAGTTTCCATATTTAAAGAAGTAAAATAAATCGAAATTGAACTTACCCATAGAAATTGCACTG